ACAAATTACACCCAAACTCACGAGATAAATAAGTGTAGTCCATACAAATATTTCTTCCGGCCCGGGAATCGAACGACGCTATGTCATGCCTTGAATCTATGTGTAGACATTTACCTACTTATTCCGAACACCATATTCCGACCATTGGTCATAGATAATGCCACAAAGATTCGAACCGGAGACCTTTCAAATGAGAAGCGCAACCCTACTTGGCTACCATTGATTTTTCTATTGTTCGGTAATAAGCGGATATCCTATTGGAGCGGAGAATCCTCTACATTTATTATCAATTAATAGTATTATCTCTACCCAATCGTGCAGCAGATATCTAACAGCGATCGCAATTGTAACGAGTTTGTTTGGTAGACGACGAAAGTTGTGGATGTTGTAACCACTATGGAACGACAAAACTGGATTTTCAAAGTCAAAGATCATTTATTCCATAGGTAAAATAAATTTACACTTGAAAACGTCACATTTAAGCTACTGCTCGTTCACTACGCTGACCTCCCCGAGAAGAACGAGCAAGAAACTCTAGGGATTGCTATTTTCAAATAAACTTAAATGCTATGGAATACACTTTGAATCAAATTTGTGTGGATTCCGGAGCCGTGTCGTCTTTCCATACACCTTTATCTAACACGTAGTCTTCAATTTTGTAATATGATTTTTCGATCAAAATATTTTTAATGTAGTTTTGAAACTTAGGAAATGATAAACTTAATATGCTCCGGAATCATATTGTAAAAACGTATACAGATCCCCATAAAAGAGTTGTTTACCTTGGTTAAACGAAATCGTGGTACCATGAGTTTGGACTTAGCTCTAAGGTTAATATTATAGATATCTTCTTTCTTATTTAAATTATGTATATTTTTACGAGCATATAAAATATTTGAGTACATGTACTGTGATGCCACAGTCATGATACCAGTCTCTTTAAACTTTTTTCTGAGAGAAACCCGAGAGCCTAGACGGTACACAGCACGAATCGCTCGTTTTTGCAATACAAATATGGTTTGAATATATTTTGTTTATGATATCAAGTGACGGAACGAACAAGTCGTGCGCGTCTGTTGGTAAGCGCCTGCCCATAACAGTTACAGTGTCTCTCAGTGTTAGTGTTAGTGTAACTAGGGCCTTTTTAAGTAGAGAGTATAATAGGCTAAGTAAGTACTTAAGTGTGTATGTTCAATCGGTGACCTCATCGTCACTTTCCTTTACGAGAGATTGAGATCAATTGTGTAAAAATTTTTCTATAAAAAAAAGGCTGACCACCGGAAACTTAGGTACCTAAGTGATCATCGGACACGTGGTGTCTAGACTATCCCAACTAAATACCTAAACGTAGCAAGAGACAGAAAAACGCGTCTTTGGATGCCAAATGATGATTATTACTAATTTAATATAACTACGTGATTGTACATACTTTTTTAGTACTAAAAAACATTGATCAAATTATTTCCAATGTAAGAAATAAAATAATATTATATTTCAAAGGTTTTGAATGTGTATGAACCTTTTAAAAATGTTGCAGGTACTCCGACATGAATGAAGAAATTGTTATTATTCGCGTCGCATGCCTATCACGTTCTAAAACCAGTTAGTGAGCCCATAATAAACATAAATATCAACCTTTAGAGGCTCTGTTTTTGAAAGCACCTTACCTAAATAAAGATTGTTTTAATTTGCACCCTATTTTAGGATAGGTTTTAACCTACAGCCTCCTTACATATTATTATGTTTTCCTTACTTTTGGTAGATAAGACAACAAGCGCCTGTTCTAAACTTCTATGTTTTTCAAAATGGAAAACCAGTTAAGGAATTGACGTGTTAAAGTTTTTTTTAGACCGCATTGTTCGAATATGTAACGAGTGGTCTGGGTGCGCAACCGAAATCATTTTGAAACAAAATTTAAAAAAAAAAAATTGTCTATTGGTTGAATTCTCAATCTATTTCAATAATCACGTACCTATATAGATGCAGGCATTGTCAAAATACTTTAACATTGTGCTATAAAATGTTTGAACGTTTGATATAAATCAATAATTATCTCATAAATTTAAAGAACCCTATGTACATTAAAATTGAAGTGCACGTTAATTGAACTGCGGTTTAATAAATATTCAGATATTTTAAGCACTAAACAAAATAAGATAATTTCAATGTAACAGAATTACTTAACGTAGTAACCAACAAACGTTTAACGTTTTATAATAGGTGTCTTGAAAATAACAGTCATTTAAATAACGTTCAAAATCGACAAACAATGGATGTATTTTGCCGCCTTAAGAATTTAATCCAAAAAGTTTATAATCTGAATCTTTTTAAGAAAAAGATTTTATTTTATTTCAAAGTGGCCAAAATTTAAGATCGACAATTTTCTACTTCAAAATTCAAAAAACTAAATTCTTTATGGCGAGTCCATTGACTTACAAGGCGAGTCGTAATAAGGCACAATTTATGAACTAATTTGAAAGGGTCGCTGTTAACGAAATCGATATGGGGACTATTACACTATTGCGTTCATATTTGAAATTATCTTTTGCTAATCTATAAGTTATTATTATCTACAATAATTACAATCAATGAACCTAATTATATGTCAAAGACTTAGTACTAAGTTATTATTATACTTTATTAATTATCTACCTACCAACAGCGGTACTTTTTTCTAACAAGTAAAATGGCAACATTTATGCTAATAACGCACTTTAAACACATGCTATTTTTAACCGAAATGAGAAAAGGAGGAGTGAGTGTGTATGAAGAGGAGTGTATATGTGACGAGATACTGCGATATTAGTATATCGATTTCGATGATTTTTTTTTGGTTAGGGTAGTGTAGTGGTCAGATTCAAATTTGAATTAGGGGATGAATCGGATTTATTGCATTTCACCCACTTTCCGTCAACGAATTTCAATAAAATTTGCCGCCGATAACGTGACCATACGTCCCGGTTTTGAACTCCGCGTCCCGCAGTACCCAAAATATTTAAAAAATCCCGCTTTGGTAAAACACACTTGACAATAATTCAAAAAATATAGAACGCTAGCCCATCATTAGAACTACACAATATTAGTTCTTTTTTTACATTTATAATTATTTTAAGTGCTTTTTAAATTTTTTTAATAATTAAACATTTCTTAACTATCATTAACCTGTGTTTTTTGAAACAATAATACATATCATCATATCAATAAGACAAGCGTCACGCTCTGAGGGAATGAAATAATGGTCACATTATACCGAGATGTAATTCCAATGAAAATAAAATGTTAGTGACTAGAGCTGATCTAATGGTAGAAACGGCAGACAAAGTAGAGGATATAGCTCAAATGATTCGTTTTGACGAGGACTTCCTTATGCGTTTCAAATATTGTTGAGGAGACAGCAAAAACGAATATGCAAATTAATAAGGTCGGGTTTTTTAAATAAAAAATAATAATTACTTATATGTAAAAAATAGCGGATTTTTGTAATTACAGTTTTTCATTAATTTTTAGTTTATATTATAACGTTTTCAGTTTCCTAATTGTTTGTTGCTTGATTGATCTGATGGCTCTAAAGCCAATGTTCAACAAAAAAAATTATAATTATATTTACCACTACTACATGCACGCATTCTGCAGAGACTACTTAGCAATCTGTATCTACAACACAATCTACTACTGCTGCAATTGAATTGGTATTCGTATCTGGAAGAAACTGTTTAAATAGACATCATTTTACTATCTATATTGTAAACAATCAAGCGTCCTTGTTAAATATTATTAATGTTTTGGCTCTTCCCGAGTGTTATTTGCGCTAGCGAAAATATTTTTTATTTTAATATTTACGATGACATGATTTCACACTTCGTAAGTGCGTCAAGAATTATATAGTACGTACATTTCAAATACAATGATTAACTATGTATTTTTTTCTCTGCAGGGCTTCGAGAAATACCATGAAGTTGCAGAATAAGAATAATGGCGACAAAAACTTATGGGGCTATAATACAGAATACGGTTTTTTTTATTTTGGCGCCGACGACATAAATATAATATGATATAAGAACGACTTAGAACGAAACACGTACCTAACTGTTTTGAAGTTTTTGTATGTACCAAATTTTTCAATACGCATTAAAATAAACGGAATCGCTTAAGATATATTCTTAGAATGCTTTTAAAATTCTCTAGAGATAACGGGTATAATTTTACTACTGTTTTGCTATAGGCTGTCATATATAACTTTATAAGCCCGCGGTCGCCCGTCGGCTTTAGTGTCTCTACACGCGTCTCGATTTACTTTCACGTAGGTATTATAAAGCTCTTGTTTACGCTAACACCAAATTAATTGATAATTGCGTACATCTTAACTATTTGAGAGATCACATACGAGTAAAAATATATAAGAAGGCACGTGCACTAAACACAAAAGACAGAAATACTATAATAATGACGTTTTAATGGAATATTATCACCTCTTACTACTTTTAATTGACATTTAATTGTTAAACAAATGCTTTGTTCTTTATTCTCAAATTAAGTCTCAAATACTTCTGAGTTGAGTTGTTGTAAATATTTTCATTTTGGAAGTAAACAAAGCGGCCGTCTTGTAAATACTAAGGTTTATCTAAGTTTAATTCATTAATATTTACTAGCGTTGATTTTGAACTAGCTATGTACTTACATATCTAGTTAGGAAATGGTGACTGATATTGATATTATATATATTTACCTATATATAACCATTTAAATACATGTTTGTAACACGGTGCTACTTAGGTACCTAGGTATCTATAAGTAGAGTAGATTTGAAATTGAGCTATGCTACAATCTACGCAAGTTACTTCGTGTGTGTGAGTAAGCTCTTACTTACTTATTTACTCTATATTCAGTTCCGGGATCTAATTTGTACCTAATCCAGTCGTATTTCGAGAAGCTTTAGAACCGCATAATTCGACGTTATCAGCTAGGCACTTAAGTCTACTAAACCAAATCAAACCACCCACCTTTAGAAGTCCAAGCCAAGGTAGAGCACACTCCGCACAAATACACAATATGTGAATCCGAGAGACAGTCGGGACACAAAGCACTAACACGAACACTGAGAGCCGCGAAGAGCACGAGCAACGAGCGGTAAGGCACAGCACTAGCACAGCGCGCGGCACTCTCGGCTCGCGGAACTTGTCGCTGCTCGCGCGGGACTCGGTGCAGCGGCGGCGGCGCGGTGCGCGGCACTGCGGACGCCGCGGCGCTGCGGCCGGCCGCGGCCCGCACCCGTCGCGCCATTGGCTGCCCGAGCTCCACCCGTCGAGTCGCGCCCCGCCCGAGCTCTGCATCTGCCAGTAGCGTACTCGCGCCGCCCCGCGCCCTCCGCGCTTCGCACATGCCGCTGCCGCTGGAAGGGCGGGCGGCGGCCGATCCTCCAAAGTCCACTCTGCCACTGCGTTGCGTTCCGGCCGGAATCAGGGAAGTCACGGTTTGGGGACAACACTTCTGCCGCCGTTAGTTGAAAGGACGCATGTGACGTTATTTCAAAAAAATTGTCATGTATATCGATGTCATCAGTGAAAAAAGCCGGTCACTATTTTTTCCTAAGTGGATAAGGTATGAAATTTGTAGGTAATGTCATTTCTTTTTTGTTTGAGTTTTTATCACTAGCGCCCTTGCAACTATCGGCGGAAGGATAATTAAGTAATACACTAACGTCAACAATGCTATTGTAATTAGGCTAAATTGAAAAGGCATACGTAAGTGGTTACTTGCGCCTATCTTACCTAATATTGGGTATTTTACGAACATTTTTTTTACCAAGTTGAAAATGATAAAGGGTAACAATTAAATAATGAAGCATAAATAATAAAATATTTTAATTCCTTATTTTACGCATAATTTAGGTTTATCTTACTGCTTTTTTTAGAAAGTGTCTATGTTTTTTCGTTTGGAAACAGCAGATATTTTTCCTTTTAATTCTTTTAAATATTATTTTCCCGGTTTTGAGTTTTTATCACAAGCGCCCTTTCAACGGCGACAGAGTTAGGTACAGCAATCTCGCGGTAGAGGTACTTACCTACAGTTTGTTATGGACTATGGATGTTAACCTATACCAAAATATCTGGATCAATTGACAACCGTATTGTAGCTGTCCATTAGAGCTACAGGTCACCAACCTGTAGCTCTAATAATAAATTTAGCTATATTGAATAACTTTGTTCTCTTTATATAGGTACATAAAGACGAACAATTATTTAGGTTCATACCTAAAAAAACGAAATCTGCATATTTTCACTTTCTTCTCTCGTCTTTTATCTTTGAGTACCTATCACCTTTGGGATGGCTCTTCTACATATCAACTGGCCACTTTGGATTCAATTGACAATCGTGCCAAGAGTCTTATAGGTGACTCGGAATTAGTGGAGGCGAAGCTGCAGAGCCTTGAACACCCCCGTAAAGTTGCCTGCTTATCGGTATTTTACAGGACATATCACGGAGAGTGTGCGATGGAATTCCCCTTTCCATCACCTGGGGACTAAGCGTAGGCTTGAATTCCACCCCTATGTTGTGGATATTCCAAAGATTCGCGCCGAAGCATTACGTTTCCAAATATATATGCTATGGAGTGGAATTCCCTGCCTGCAGGCTTGTTCCCTGAACGTTATAACTTGGATCTTTTCAAGGCGAGAGTGAATAGACATTATTATTACGCCGATGACATAGTGCTGCTGGGGCCCACAGTTGGCAGTTTGCGTAAATTAGTGAGGCTTATGCTGAAAAACATGGTTTGAAGTACAACTCCAAAAAGAGTGAGCTATGATTTAAAGGCAGAAACAGACCTCCTGCCTCAGTCCCTCCTGTTTACCTCAATGGTTCGCCATTTCAAAGAGTTGAGCGGTTTAGGTACCTTGGGCACATTGTGAACGAAGACCTGAAAGATGACTGCGATATAGAAAGGGAACGCAGGGCGCTGTCTGTAAGGTGGAATATGCTGGCTCGGAGATTTGCTGGTTGTTCACTTGATGTCAAGGTCACGCTTTTCAAGGCATATTGCCAAACGTTCTACACCAGTAGTCTATGGACTAGTTATACTCAAAGATCGTACAGCACCCTGCGCATATTGTATAACAACCTGTTCTGGTCGATGGTGGGGCTTCCTAGTCACTGCAGTGCGTCAGGTATGTTTGCTGATGCGCACACAGACGACTCATTAATACGCAGAGTGCGGGGAAGCGCCAACAGTCTCCTGCAAGTTGTCGCGGGAAGGCTGGACAGTGCTGTGCTAGGCAGGTTCAACAAGCTGCACGCTACACGTGCGCTTCGGTGACCGAGCCGACAGTAGTGTATCTGCTATTCATTATTATTACTATACTAACATAGTTATTAAGGGTTTTGTGTACTAACAATCTATGGACCATTTAGTTGTCTGAGAATAAATATATTTTATTTTTATTATTTTATTAAATAGGTGTGCATGCTCCATCGTCGACCTCATCGTCACTTTCCATCAGGTGAGATGGAGGTCAAATACGCACTTATGTTTTATAAAAAAAAAACCAACTCACATTTTAACAACCCTTTTAACTGTTTACCTAAAGTAAGTTAAGTAGCTGCCTATAGTTAACGATCTTAACAGACAGGCCGCTCGCTCTATGACGAAATTTATTTAGATTCTTGAGTGTGTAATGCATGCAAAAAGAAACCACAAGACGATCAAGCGTCATTGTTGCTGATTTTATTTTTTTAACATGAATCCAAGTGACAGAGCGAATATAAGCGACACGCCTGTCCATAACAGTTGCAGTGCCACTCAGCGCTTTAAAACGCAAAGATCTGAATGGCGCTGCCACTGCGACAGTCACCCTGCGACATAAGTTGACAAGTCAAACGTGCCTGTAATTTCATTAGCAAGCTTACCCTTCTAAACCGGAACGCAGTACCTAATGCTACATTACTGCTTGGCGGCAGAAGCAGGTAAAAGGTGGACTAATTCATTCACAAGAAACTGTACTGCTGCTACTGTGCTGTGCTGACTAGTACATTATCAGCTTAAGTGCCTCTACCCTGTTCGTTCTTCTTCCCTGTTCTTTTTACATAAGCAATGATATCGCACGATGTTGAAGGGTTCTGATCCTTCTTTATTGACGTGTAGGTTTTACCACGACGTTCGCCTTAGTAATTATTAATGAAAGGTATAGCTGCAAAACATTCACAAATGTAGGTCTGTCATTTAGAAATTAGTCATAGCTGTATACGTATTATTTATGCTCACTGTAGACACCATTTAAATGCGTAATCCATGACGTGTAAGGAATCTAGGGACCTATATTTAAAAGTGTTATAGGTAATTAATACTACAAAGATCGAATACTAAGAAATTTATTTATTTATTTATTTATTATTTAAAACTTTACATCTACTATTACAGTTATAACCAATGCGATAGTGTACAAATTCAAATGTAGATTCTTACATTAAATCCATAATAAAAAATAAAAATAAAGAAGAAATCAACTACTCGCTCAAATTATTACGATACATGTACATAGCAAATAACGTATAGTGTTCTCCTTGTGAATTCACACATAGTACATGAAAATAAGTCCGTTCTGTCTATAACATCATTTAGGATCAGCAAAGCTCGTGTGAGCGGGGCCTTCTGGCTCTGATTAGTTCGGCCGCGCGACACTACCGACAACCGCGGTTTTCGTCGCCTCCTTACGTACTCATTCGGCACGCATAAAGACACCCTTTCCAGTATACTATGGTTGAAAATTGACCCTCTAAGTAGTTTAAAAATAATTTGAGAAAACAGTCTTTAAGTAAACCGTGTCAGATATGCGCTATGCCAACTAAGCCACGGAACGAACTATACTTCGTTTCAATCCATTTTAAAGAAAAATGTAAACAAAGAAGTCACCATACACGACTATAGACTGTTTAGTGATGGGCAATTTTACTGCCAACGACAAATCAATTAATTAATTGAATGAATCGTTTTGTTTAAACATACTAGAGTCATACTAGCGTTTTCCTTACATAACCTATAAAAGCATACTTAAACTGCCTCCGTGGCCGAACTGTTACCATGCCAGACTGCCACGCAGAGGTCCAGATTCGATTCCCGAGCCGGGAGAAATATTTGTATGGCCTACATTTATTTCTCTCGTGAGTTTGGGTGTAAT